ATAATAGAATTTGATTTGAAATACAGAGAATATAAAGTTTTATAGCTCTACCTGGAAACAATTTTTTCTTGAGATTTGGGGGGAGGGAACAGGTGTCTCTTCTTAACAGGATATTCAACTATAATAGGTAAAACTTGGAAGATGTTAACTAATATGCTTATCTCTCTAAAAAAAAAAAAAGGAGGTATTGTCAGACATTTTTCCAGGGTAAACTGCTACCCAAAAGCAGTTTGTTTTGTCTAAAAAACAAATTATATTCTATTTGTGAGCCCACAATTGACAGAAAACAAAATGACTATATTATATCCTTGAGATATATTACAGTTTACTTATCAAATACTGCAATACAATGAGAAAGAGCTGGTTAATGTAACAAAAGAGAAATAAAATCACTCAATTCTTATCTCTCAAACCATAACTTGTTAAAAATTTGAAATAATTCTCACAATAAAGGAATTAAAGGAGAAATTATATGCTAGGTAGTTTTCAAATCTGTTTCAGAAAGCAAAGCCAAAAAATTCAAAAATTCACTACAAGCAATTATCTTTATCTCTTGTATTTCTTATTTTCCATTTGTATGCATTCATTTTCCTAAGTTTCCCCTCAAATGGTGCCACCAGTATTTAAAGGAAAGATACACTATTTTTCCTTCTGAATCCTAAGAAGGCAAACAGTGTAAATAAGGGTGTAGGTTTTTATAACTTAAGAAATGGCCTCTGTTCTCAGAAACGATTTTAATTCTTATTCTTTTTTCTTCTTTTCCTTTTTTTTCTTTTTTTTTTTTGAGACGGCATCTCGCTCTGTCACCCAGGCTGGAGTACAGACGCATGATCTCAGCTCACTGCAACCTCTGCTTCCGAGGTTCAAGTGATTCTCCTGCCTCAGCTTCCCGAGTAGCTGGGACTGCAGGTATGTGCCACATGCCCAACTAATTTTTATATTTTTGATGGGTTTTGCCATGTTGGCCAGGTTGGACCAGAACTCCTGACCGCAGGTGATCCACCCACCTCAGCCTCCCAAAGTGCTAGGATTACAGGCGTAAGCCACCACACCCAGCCCTTAATCAGTTTTTACAGGTTCTAGATAATTCTGAATTAAATTCCTGGTTGCTCTGTAGGCATAGCTTTCATTGTAAACAGATGACTTTCAAATATTTAGAATTGTAACTTACAAAGTATACTATTTACAAATGTAATTTGGAGTTATGCTTAATAAGTTGACTAAAAGAACAGACTGACAAAAAAAAATTATAGCAAAAATATCAATGATGTTACAATGTGAAACATCTAGAAATTCACCATCTAGAAATAACTATACCACTCACCACAATGGCAATATATAGGCCCTAAATTACTATTATTGCTAAAATTATTTAATAAATGATAGTTTTAAGAAACACAACTTAGAAGTTAATGGCAATACTGTAAGAAAACCCCAAATCTTTGATACTAATACTGATCTTGTCTTAAGATAATTTCTGAGTTGTACAGTAGACTAAACAGGGAAGTTTCTATAGATTGACTTGTCTGAATAAGCTGTTCCAACTATTTCATTAATAATTTCTTCAAGCTCAAACTCATCAGCAGTCTTGATGTATGCAAATGAAAAACAATAGAGAGTAACAAAGGTACAGATTGAATAAACCTTACGCAAAATGCTGAGAACCAGAAGTGACTGGATTTCAGATTTTGAGGAGACTTCAGAACATCTGCATTTTCCTTACCGGTTGGGCAACCCGAATCCAAACATCCAAAATCTGAAATGCTCCAACAAGCATTTCCTTTGAGGGTCTGGTTGGCACTCAAAATGTTTCAAATTTTGTAGCATTTTGGATTTCAAATTTCCAGATTAGAGATATTCAACTTGTATATTTTCAAATTTCCTATGAATCATTTCACTTTCCTGGACTTGTGACAAGTGTGGTATATGTTAAATTGTAAATCATTTTGCTTCTCTTTGTTCTCCATCCTCTCTAGAGCTTAAGCACAGATTTGAACCAACCATCATAACCAAAAACATTATGAGATACGAACAGATCTCAGGAATTACCCATGACTTGAAAGCAGTGACAATACCTTCAATCTCACTCTATGTTCTTTTTCAAAAATATCTGATGAAAGAATCAATTATATTAAGTAAACAACTGCTGATCAAAGTAAAAACTTATTTTACCAATAAATTAAGATAAATTTAGGAATCCCAAGCCGCTATTTTCTGAATCTTTCCTTCAACTGCAAAATAAACACATTTTGCTTGAATTTTTTTTTTTTTTAACTTCATTTGAGAGACTAGTTTGAAACATTTGGTGCTTTTGGAGAATTGTCTGAAAGTATAAAAGATCATATAAATAATGAGAAAAAATGAAAAATACCTTAAAGGAATAATGAGATCATTAAATTAAAATAACAGTAGAAAATGGGACGGGCGCGGTGGCTCATGCCTGTAATCCCAGCACTTTGGGAGGCCAAGGCGGATGGATCACAAGGTCAAGAGATGGAGACCATCCTTGCCAACATAGTGAAACCCCATCTCTACTAAAATACAGAAATTAGCTGGGTGTGGTGGCACACGCCTGTAGTCCCAGCTACTCCAGAGGCTGAGGCAGGAGAACTGCTTGAACCCAGGAGGCGGAGGTTGCAGTGAGCCGAGATTGCACCACTGCACTCCAGCCTAGCACCTGGCAACAGAGCAAGACTCTGTCTCAATAAATAAATAAATAAATAAATAAATAAATAAATCAGTAGAAAAAGCAAACAAGAAAACCAAATATCTTTATAACAAAACTACCTAACCCAAAAAACAAACAAACTATAAGTCTCTCACAGTGACGTCTTTATTTCAGGCAAAAAAGAATTTATGTAGTTATTTGAATTTCATTGTACTGTACTAGAATTTGATCTCATAAATAAAGTCTCCTTTTCTATCAAAGCTATTCTATATCCTAAGAGCCCCATAAACTGATTTGCTATTTAATTTTAACATTATAAATAATGATTTCACAAGACTTTCATTCAACTACAAATCTTAATATTTTATCTTTTTGCTACTGGTGTAGAAAAAAGAATTATATATATCAGTATATATACATGAAATATATGTTTATATAAATACATGCTTTATATATGTTTACATACTTATATAATTTATAAATGTATACTTTTATACTTACATATAAAAAGTGTATATCTATACACACACACACACACACACACACACACACACACACACACACACACACACATATCAGAAATACTTTTATCACAAAGTGTTTAGTATTTGTTCTGGACAATTTCTCTGAAGTATTTAAATTATGTTTAGGTTTCCTTTGGAGAAAAAACACTTCTAGCCTGAATTAAATGGCTACTGATTCAAAGGCTAGTATAAGCACACCTAACTCCAAATTGTTATCCGGTAGATGAAAGAGCTTACAAGGGAAAATAACTAAAATAAATTGTAAAAATGTAAGACAATTAGAGAAATATGGAAAGTGCTAAAAGTGACAGACACAGAAGCACCTGGAAAATAGAGGCTATAAAATAGTTAACTCCCAGAACAAGCAGAAATAGAGGCCAGGTGCCAGAGAAGAAGGAGACTCAACATGCATATGAAGAGGAAGAGCACACTCCTGCAGTTAAGTACTGATCAGAAATACTAAATAGGAAGGCTGTACCCTTTACTTGGGTGTCTTTCATAGAAAGAAGCCCTCAATAAAAAAGTATGAACTAACTGTGCTCCAAAAGTCTATGAGCTAGTTTCAGGTAAGAAACTCCGCTGGAGCCAGTATTAGAAACAAAAAGCCTCCAATTCCCACAGGAATTGTCTTATAAAAAATAAAGTGTAAAGCAATTAATTCACAGCCCAACTTCAAACATGAAAACATTTAAAAACAACAAAGTGACGCTTTTCTGCAATGCACACTAGACTTCAATTGAACACTCTTTCTCCCATGTATAATCGGTATTTTTCTAAAGTTACAAAAATTACTGGTTCTATTTCAAATTTATACAAGAACAAAGTAGACAACAAAAGGCACCCAAAGTGTTTACCTCAATAAAAAACATTTTAAACTGCACATCAGTTTTTTATTCTTAGGAAAAAATGACCTTCCTTTTATTAACTATATGCACTAATTCTCATCACAAATGTGTACTAATTATAGGATCAAGGTATCAGTTACAACTGTTAATCAAATCAGCAGTGAAATTGGCAGGACCTTTAAACTGGATGTGACCAGAACTAAGTTTGGAAAATCTGAAATGGAAATAAAAAAGATGCTGAGGGTATTCTCCGTCAAAGGTCTTTTGGTCAAGGTGCAGAACAAGACAGACTTTGTTCTTTGGTGGTAACAAGGTGTGGGTTGTATGTGCACACAGAGTAAGTAGGTTAGAGCTTCCTGGCTCCAGCAGCTCTAGGGAGCTAAATGAATGGGACGACAAATAAAGCGGATATGAGGTTGCACTAGTTTTTTAAGGATAGCCTCTTACAATCAGAAACACAAACTTTAGAGTAACAATTTCAAAGCTGTTTGCATTTACTAAATATATTAAAGCATTTTGTTTTTCTTGGTAATTAGCCACGTTGCTCTTTCATATGTCAGGCTGAATCAGGTGTGCTATGCAGAAACAGGCTATGCATTTGCGCCACAGGCAGACTGGGGTTTTAGAGGAGCCTGTAATAATAGCAGCAACGGGAGTCAAGGTAACAACAACTTTTGGAAATGTGAGGGCAAGAAGACAGACAAATATGAGGTCCAATGTACAACCATGTCTCCACATATGTGGAGAAATCTTCTGGATCAAATGTTTATTTTGTTTTTTCAAAACACTTTCCCAACAATCCTCACTTTCACAGGATGGTAGAATCAAAGTACTTCAAAAAATACGAAGTAAAACCTCAATTCACAGGCTAGAGATTAATTTAACAGAGATATTGATACAGTTGGAGGGGTCTAAAATGGAGATTTCCATAGTACACAGTTTAAATAACTTTTAAAGACTCACCTGTAGGCTTAACTGAATAAAACCCAATGGCCTCTCCTTTCTTCCACAGAATCTTAGCATAATCAGTACTGCTATGACACAGGAATGGGATCTCATTTCTCTCCATTTCCTGTTTTCTATAAATAATTCGATTCAGAACATACAGAACCACTCTCTCCCCAAGAGTGCTCACCTACAAAGAGAGTCAAACACCAGGCACAGCAGTTATAATATGTATCAATCAGAAGATGCTATTTACCTTGTTCCCTGCTCCCATACCTCATCCTGGCATTCAAAGCACTTCAAATACATTTAAAACAATTTGCAAAACATTTTATTACCACAGAGATGAGACTAATCATTCACACAGATTACAATCCATTTCCACAGACACATAATATGCATATAATACTGCCTTTTGACAAAATTCTAAGCTGGGCAAAACAGGTTCCCAATGTACCAATCCCCAGCATCTGGGGTCTCGCCATCTTCTTTCTGCTTCTAGCTGCCCAGATCCAGGGTCTCACCAACCCTAATCACAGCCCTCACTATAGTAAACTACTTCAACTGTTTTTCAGTCTCCACATTATAAAAAAAGAAAAACAACAACAACAAAAAAAAACAAAACTTAGTGTTATCCCCTGAACACTTTAAGAACAATTACATCATTTGGTGAGGGAAGCCATAATTATGTTCTTGGGAAAGAAATGTGTCTCATCTTTTCCTGGTAAAATGTTCATTTAACAGCCCTATCTTTGCTGTCGACAAAGACAGGGACACCAAAGAAATCTAATAAAAACACACTTGAGGCAATAATAGAACAGAAACAGAGCCTCACTTCCTACACACAGGGCTAGACGGTCACAGGGACCCCACCAACATTCAGAACATTCTGGTATCAAATGGTGAGATTTTGTCATACACAGGCCAAGTGGGGTGGCTCACACCTGTAATCCCAGCACTTTAGGAGGCCAAGGTGGGTGAATTGCTTGAGCTCAGGAGTTTGAGACCAGCCTGGGCAACATGGCGAAATCCCGTCTCTACACAAAATACAAAAATTAGCCAGGTGTGGTCATACACACCTGTAATCCCAGCTACTCAGGAGGCTCAAGCAGGAGGATCACTTGAGCTCAAGAGGGTGAGGCTGCAGTGAGCTGTGATTGCGCCACCACACTCCAACCTGAGTGACAGAGTGAGACTGCCTCTCAAAAAAAAAAAAAAAAAAAAAGTACATAAGTCTATTTTCTCCCACGTCTCTTAAAGGAAAACAAGTTCAGCCTCTAATTAGTTTAGTGGATAGAGAAAAGATTGATCATATATATACACTACTCTCAAAAATACCCCTGGCAGGGGATCTCATATACCAAACACAGGAAATAACAGCTGACTAGCAATAGCTTCCAAGGCAACCCATTCCTTCCTTGCATGGTTCTAACAATTCTTCCTTATTCAGAGCTGAAATCTACTTCTCAAAGACTGTATTTTGATATTCTGCAGCCACATAGCCTATAAAAAGATAGCCATGATGTTTCCCTAAATTTCAAGCCAAAGTTAAAAATGGGAATAAATAAAGGAAAAGGCTAATCTAACATAATTTGGGGTACTCCTGTCATTATAGTTCTCTCTCTTGAAACTGCTCCAGATTCGTAACATCTCTCTTTATGTTTGGGATATGGACATCATGAAGACATTTTGAAGGTACTGCTGAGAAAATGGGGCTTTTCAGTATAAACTTAAGGTCTGTATTAGCTTTTTTGCTTATCTGGATTTTATTGCGAATTAACTAAAGCCTAATACTTTTTCATATGTACTGTTGTTTCAGTTTGGTATTCATGGTGTATAGTTAATTTTTTGAACCTATAGGTATTACGTTTCTCCGTATTTATTATGTTAGAGCTTTCTCTTTGATTCTTAATTCTGCCCTTCACAAATTAGCTCCTCCATTCAGCACTGTGACATGCAGAATTGATAAGCATCCCATCTATGTCTTCCCCTAAGTCACTGACAAAATAAAGGACACAGAAGTACAAAGTTTTGCAGCCTGCTCCTGGGGGCCTTCCTTCCACATAATTGAGCATCAGGTTCCAGGTACAGAGAGGTTTATAAAAATAAAGTCACTTGCTTTATTTTTAGGGTCATGTGTTTGTTAAGTACAAAAATGGTTACTCCCTCCTATAACTTTACCAACCAATTTTTTCTTATCAGCCAGGATTTGACTGGAATAGCAATCCCCCTTCACTGATTTCTCAAATTAAGAGGGAATGTAGGCCAGGCATGGTGGTTCACACCTGTAATCCCAGCATTGTGGGAGGCCAAGACAGGTGGATCACTTGAAGTCAGGAGTTCGAGACCAGCCTGGCCAACATGGTGAAACCCTGTCTCTACTAAAAATACAAAAATTAGCTGGGCAAGGTGGCACACACCTATAGTCCTAGCTACTCGGGAGGCTGAGGCAGGAGAACCACTTGAACCCGGGAGGTGGAGATTGAAGTGAGCTGAGATCACGTCATTGCACTCCAGCCTGGGTGACAGTGAGATTGTGTCAACAAAAAACGAGGGAATGTTGTCCCTAAGGTAACTAAGGCTGAAGGAGTCCAAACGGTTATGGTCTTATTTTTGGTTGTGACTCCTCCTCTTTTCCCAAGTCATATCTGGAGGTTTATAGTTTCTTCATTTGAATAGGAAAAGCTACAATATACCATCATAGTAAGATTTTCCCTTCTCCATCCTTTAGCCTATATACCTATCATGTGTCAAACCTCTGTCATGTTAAAACACATCGGAATGTTTATTTTCTTAATGTACATACTTCCTTTCACTATCAGAACTGTTCCTGAGAACAAGTCATGCTTCTTTATTGCTATCTACTCTTCCAATGTTACAGCTTTATATAGGGATTTAACTCCCCCTTCCCTTCAGTTTTTGTTCAAAGTTTCTTATCAGACTGGCTGATAACCAGGTATACACATTCTCCTAGCCTTCAGCAAATAGTCCTATCACTCTGGGACTCTTAAGGCACATTGAAGAATTAATGCAATATCCAAAAGTTACTAATACTTAACAATACTAAGCGTATTATTCTCATATCCTCCCATCTCTTTCAAGGTTCCCAACTCAAAAGGAAGAAATAAACACCCTAGTAGCCTGCAACTTTCTCACTTTCCTATCCTGGATTTCCAACTTTTTTTCCTGCTGCTCCTGCCCCTAAGTTTTGCTTTTCTGTGAACTGGACAAGGGATCAAAGTTTCTTGATATGCTTTCCTTGTTTCTTCTGATTGGTTCAATTGCCCACAAAAAAATTAACAATAGCTGGCACCTTGCTACTGAAAATATTTTTCAGACTTGGCCTATCCAAGAAGCATTCTAAAGGAAGAATACCAAGATACGTATATATTTCTGTTAAATTCATTCTACTGTTGGCTGGGCGCAGTGGTTCATGCCTGTAATCCCAACACTGTGGGAGGCTAAGGCTGGGGGATCACCTGAGGTCGGGAGTTCCAGCAGCCTGACCAACATGGAGAAACCCTGTCTCTACTAAGCATACAAAATTAGCCAGGCGTGGTAGCATATGCTACTCAGGAGGCTGAGGCAGCAGAATTGCTTGAACCCAGGAGGCGGAGGATGCGGTGAACCAAGATCATACCATTGCACTCCAGCCTGGGCAACAAGAGCAAAACGCCATCTCAAAAAAAAAAAAAAAATTTGGCCAGGCACGGTGGCTCACACCTGTAATCCCAGCACTTTGGGAGGCCAAGGCAGGTGGATCACTTCGAATTTGAGACCAGCCTGGTCAACATGGCAAAACCCCATCTTTACTAAAAATACAAATATTAGCTGAAACTCATCTCTACTAAAAATACAAAAATTAGCCAGGCATGGTGGCGCATGCCTATAATCCCAGCTACTAGAGGGGCTGAGGCAGGATCACTTGAACTTGCGAGGCAGAGGTTGCAATGAGCTGAGATCCTGTCACTGAACTCCAGTCTAGGCAACAGAGCAAGACTCCGTCTCAAAAAAAAAATTCATTCTCTTCAGCAAGGGTCTCATCTCTTCATTTTAGGATTAATTAACAAGGAACACTACACTTAGTTAATGAATAGTACTGCTTCTCCAAAAACTCAGTATTCTTGTTAAGTAAGCAAAGTCGATTGCCCTTCTACCAAGTCAGCTTCATATTTCTCCAATATTATTATAAATCTCGCTCTTCCAGTCACCAAAGATCTCATCATTTTTTTATTACGCCCTGCCTCCTCAAGTATGTTACATCTTGGTTCCTTGGATTTTCTACATCCTATCCTATTTATCCTCCAATAACTAGAGCACCAGAGATCCCTCTTCAACCCTTTCATCTCTAGCATGAAAACCAGCTTCCTTCTGGCAACACTCTGCAGTTGGCTGGCTTCTACCATAACCCTGCAGAGGCTGGAAGCTTGCTCGCTCCTGAACCTGGTCATTCCACTGTTAGGAACAATGTATAGATCACCTGAGGAGGCCCTACTAATAAACAAGTTTCCTAGAGACAGAAGCTAAGCAATCAAACTAAGCAAACTACCTTTTCCTCTACCAAATAAGAAAATCAGAAGCTAAAGTGGATAAAGGCAGCCAAAGCTCAACTAACCTATAGGTATTCATTCTTCCTCACTCAATCTCAGATACTTTTAGAATTACATAAAAATAGATGAAGCCCAACCTGAACACTGGCTTCATCATAAGAATGAAACTCTAGGGTTTAATATAACCTGATTATTTTTAAATGGGGAAGAGGTCTATGACTTCAAAACCTATCACTACTTATAGGAAACACAGTGAAATGGCCTAAAAGAAACACTCAAAATTAGAGGATCTTGTTACCTGCTTAAGCCCCTCTCTTGAAGGAACAGATGTTTTCACAATATCATCAATAGCCCACCACTGATCAGCAAGGTAAAGTGCCACAGCTAAAATAGAATAAATAATCATTAACACTTAAGTTTTACAGTACACTTTTAGATTTAATAAGGCTCAGAGTATCTATATAAACCTTTATCAAATAGTAATATTGTACTTTGTAGCCTCATTTATACCATTTTTATTTTATTTCACTGATATGCTTTGGCTGTGTCCCTACCCAAATCTCATCTAGAATTATAATCCCCATAATTCCTACATGTCAAGGGAGGGACCCAGTGGGAGGTGATTGGATCATGGCAGGGGGTTCCCCAATGCCATTTTCAAGGGAATTCTCATAAGATCTATGGTTTTATCATGTTTGACTGTTCCTCCTTCACACATGCACACACACTCTCTTGCCTGCCACCATGTAAGATGTGCCTGCCTCCCCTTCTGCCGTGATTGTAAGTTTCCTGTGGCCTCCCCAAACATGCAGAACTGTGAGTTAATTTTTTATTTGTTTCTTTTTTTTTTTTTTTCTTTTGAGATGGAGTTTCACTCTTGTTGTCTAAGCTGGAGTGCAATGGTGTGATCTTGGCTCACTACAACCTCTACCTCCTGGGTTCAAGCAATCCTCATGCCTCAGCCTCCCAAGTAGTTGGGATTACAGGCATGCACTACCATGCCCGGCTTATTTTGTATTTTTAGTAGAGACAGGGTTTCATCATGTTGGTCAGGCTGGTGTCGAACTTCTGACCTCAGGTGATCCACCTGCCTAAACCTCCTAAAGTGCTGGGATTACAGGCATGAGCCACCACGCCTGGCTCTGTGAGTCAATTAAACCTCTTTATAAATTACCCAGTCTCAAGAAGTTCTTTATAAGAGTGTAAGAACAGACCAATACATTCATCCATCAAACATTTAACCATAAGCAATTAAGAATTACATTTTCCTAAAATTATAATTTGAAACACATTTTATAAAAAGCAAATTCCTTCATGTAGCTACCTTTTTAATACACTTCTAACAGTTTGGAGAAAAATTCCTTAATTTATAAAAATTAAGCAAAAAGAGACCTGTCAGTGAATCCTCAGGTGCAAAGAGAGCAAGAATTTTCTGGGTCTGATCTCCACCATAAAGAGGTACAAAGCCTACATTTGACAGGCTAATAGGAATCTAAAATGACAAATGAATAAAGATTAGTGAACATCTGTTAAGAAAACACATTAAAAAAATCTTTTATCAAAGGGTAAACTTTTCCTACATTAATTTTAATTATATAACTTTATTTTACAGGAGACATTTCTAGTCTCTAAAAAAAAAACGTAAATCAGATAGACTTTCCTTTTGGAATAATTTTATTCTCTTGGGGAAAATATGAAAATCTGTTTCAATAAATGTTACTAAGTTCTAGCCAAACAGAATAAAAACCAAAGCTACAATATGGCCCATCAAGTCATTTAAAAACAACTATAATTTATCATCTGTTATTTAGACTACTGAGGAAGATACCTGCTATTAATATGTTTTAACATTTTTTTTGCCTTCATTTAATCCAACACTTATTCCCTATTTAGAGATAACAATTCAGAGAATTATAAAAATATTGGTGCTGGGGAAGACTTTAAAAAATTCTTTAAGTCATTTCCAGAAGAAAACTCCGAGGCCTAGAGAGGTTAAGGAATTGGTCCACTATAGTTCACAATCAAACTCTAATAATTCCAACTCTAGTGATCTATCACAAAATATCATGATTTACTGACTAGAAAATTTGATGTTACTTTTTCAGAAAAAGGAAGAAAAGATTCATGGCACAAAAAATCTGTAATATAGTTTTACTGATTTTTTAACAAAAAAAATTTTCTAAATTCACAAATTCCAAGTCTAAAGTAATTCTGAAGTCGCTCAAATATAGTAAACACTCTTAGCAAAATTGGTGAACTTCTCACATATAATTTTAAAGACATGAAGACAATCAGCAATAACCTATAGACTTTTGTCTTTTTAAAAACTGATCAACTAATATTTACCCATTTTACTGAATAGATTTCTGTAGATTACAAAAATGAATGATTAACACTTAATTTTTTTTTTTTTTAAAAAAAAGGGTATTTATTTCATGTATAAATTGGACTGAAAAGATTGATGACAATCACTGCAGAGCACCTTACCGTAATATTGAGAAGAGAAAAACACTCTGGATTTTCAGGGTCCCCACACCTTAAATCTGACATGTAATCTTCAGCAGAATTTTCCAATTCCTCATGGCTGCAATTTTCCAGCATATCCACAGGGAATGCCATGTTCTTTAACAAACAACATGGAATAACACGATTGAGAATATGAAATGCCATCTTCCTTTACTCAGAGAAAATAAATTTTACTACAATGTTCCATATTTATTGTAACAAGGTTTTTCTGTTTCACTATGCTCACAGACTACAACTTGAATCAGACTACTGATTTAACCACGTATGTCAAAAAGAAAACTTTCAAACATTATTCATTTATATTAAAAATAGGCAATGAAATAAATTGATACTTCATTAAATGATAATAAATACGGTCACACAGGTATAAGACATATTTATATGTACAGACACACAAAAATACACAAATAAATATACTCTCATAAACCACTCAACATAAAAGTCACTGTAAAAGAACACAAGGGAACTTTTTGGAATAACAAAAATGTTCTACATTTGGATTGTGATGATGGCTGCACAACCTGATAAATTTCAAAAAAAAAAAAAAAAAAAACCCATCATATAAATTTACTTAAAAAAAAAAAAAAAAATCACTGCGGCCACAGTGGCTTACACGTGTAATTCCAGTACTTGGGAGACCAAGGCAGGTGGATCACAAGGTCAGGAGTTCAAGATCAGCCTGGACAAGACTAGTAAAGATGGTAAACCCCATCTTTACTAAAAATACAAAAAATAGCTGGATGTAGTGGTGGTCGCCTGTTATCCCAGCTACTTGGAAGGCTGAGGCAGAGAAATGCTTGAACTCAGGAGGCGGAGGTTGCAGTAAGCCGTGATCCCACCACTGCATTCCAGCCTGGGCAACAGAGCAAGATTCCGTCTCAAAAAAACAAACAAAAAAAATCACTGAATTATATAGTTGCAATGGGTGAATGTTATGGTATATAAATTACATTTCTCACATATACCTTTCTTTTTTTGAGACAGGGTTTTGCTCTGTCACCCAGGCTTAAGTGCTTTGGTACAATCATGGTTCTAAGTAACCTTGAACTCTTGGGCTCAAGCGATCCTTCTGCCTTGGCCTCCCAAAGCGATGGGATTACCGACACTGAGTCGCTGTGCCAGGCCTATATAGCTCAGTTTTTTTGTTGTTGTTTGTTTTTTTAAGCCAGGTCTTTAATGGGGAAACACTAAAGGCTTTACCACTAAAGGTTAGAAAAACAAAGACTCCTCTACTATATAACATTATGTACACAACGGTCAACGCAATTAGAAAAGAGAAAGCAATTAGTGGCATAGTAACTTGGGTGAGAGTAGGGTAGAAGCAAAAAACTATTGCTATCTATTATTTGCAAATAATATACTTAACTGAAAAATTCAAAAGAACCCATGAAAATAACTATTCAAACATAAGAAAATTTAGTAAAATAGAACATGAAATTAGCATACAGAAACCAGGTCTTCATATATATAACATAACAATAAGAAGAAATAAGGGGATGGGGGCGGCAAAAAAAAAAGAAAAAGAAATAGAGATGAAGATCTCATTTACAACAACAAAAATCAAAATAGGCTTAAATTCAACAACAGAAACAATACAAAATCTATATGCAGAAAACTACAAAACATTACTGAAAGTGAACAAGAGGAAAGAGAAACCACATTCTTGGAAAGAAAGCTTCAGCATCATAAAAGTACCAGATCTCCCTAAAAGAATCTAATTAATTTAATGCAATCCTAACACCTTTAAGATTTTATTTTTTCCTCAAGCAAGAAAAGCTGATTATAAAATTAATTTGAAAGAACAGACAAGCAAAAATAGCTAAAAGAATGCACCCTGTCAGAGATTAAAACATCTTATAAAACTTCTATAATTAAAACAATGTGATACAGGCATGTGAATAAACAAATGGAACAAAATATAGAAATACACATATCTATGGAAATTGATTAACAATGGAGATATCTCATTTGGCAGGGAAAAGACTTTTTCAATAGGTACTATTATTTCATTGGTCTATCTTATTTTTAAATGACATTAATTTTGCTCATTTTGAACTTTTTTGTTATTTTTCATTTTGAACTTCTTATATTTGAAATTATTCAGTATGCTCTTTACTGTGTTAACTTTTTTCACTCAACGTTACTTCTGTGAGAAACATGAATGTTGTTCCATCTATCAGTTAACCTATTTACCCATTCTACTGCTGATGGACGTTTGGCTAGTTCCAATATTTGGCAATTATGAAAATAAAGCTGCTATGAGCACTCCTGCATGAGTTTTCTGGTAGGCATACTTGGTCACTTCTGTTAGGTCTATACACACAGCCTAATCAATCTTACTAAAAGCGAGACAACCCTACTGCATCCTGATGTGATGCAACAAGAAAATCAGACCTAAATCTAACCAAGCCATCAGAGAAGTATGTTAAATGATGCCTTAAGTATGTAGTCAACCAAATTTAGAATAACTCAGTTTCTTCCAAATATATGACATGAAGTTTAAAGAAAAAAAGATGGAAAAAAATGTAAATTAAAAGAAACTTAAGAGACACATCAATGCATTGTGGAGAGTATTCTGATTTGTTTACTCTTGAAAATTTCCATGAGAAGGCCAGGCACAGTGGCTCATGCCTGTAATCCCAGCACTTTGGGTGGCCAAGGAGGGGTAGATCGCTTGAGCTCAGAAGATTGAGACCAGCCTGGGCAACATAGTGAGACCTTAGCTCTATAAAAAAAAAATACAAAAATTAGCTGGGTATGGTGGCATGAGACTGTAGTCCTAGCTAGTAGGGAGGCTGAGGTGAGAGAATTATCTGAACCCAGGAGTTCAACCATACAGTGAGCTGTGATCATGCCAGCCTGGGAGACAGAGTAGGACTCTGTCTCAAAAAAAAAAAAGAAAGAAAAAGAAAAATTTCCATAGTAAAACGTTACACAAAAAATAAACTTATGATCTATTACATCAAATACTAAGCTATTAGATCGTAAAGGGAGTATAAATAAAGCTAGTATATAGAACATCTTGTTTTAAAAGTTACCTAGTTTGTATTTACCCAAAAACCTCTTCAATTTTTACTTTTAAAAGTTTTATAAAGAGAAAGGCAGAAGGGTCAACTAAAAGTTACTTTCCTCTTTGAAACAACCTTCAAACTTATTTTATCACGAAAGTATTAGAAGGCAAGAAACGCAAAATCTAATGGAAATATGAGATAAACACCAAGAAAAAGAAGACAGGATTGACATACACAGTGACAGTTATATATAATTGAGTATGTTTTCCCGAATTTTGAAGATACAATTATGATAGAGAAAACTATTTTTACCCTAATCTGAAATTTAGGTCCTAAGGATTTTAAAACTTGATGTACATACAGCTGGGAACCAAATTTTACATAAATATGTATGGTTTTTTTTTAAATCAAATTGATTTTTTAAAATCAAAACCTAAAAATAGAAAGCACAAATTCAGTTCAGCTGTTAGTAAATGTAAATGTCTAAATTAAAGAGAAGGCAAGAAAATTTGTGAAATGATTTAGGAGTAATACCAGAAGATTTCCAGCCAACTTTTAAAAAGCCTATGAATTTCAAGAGAGATCAGCCAGGAGCTTATGCACGTAAGATGTTATAGTTAGAAAAGGACCACAAAATAAAACAGCAGCTCTACTGCGAAAGAACCTTCTTTGTTAGCTTGGGCAAATCTTTGTATTTCTATCAAATTCAATATGTAAAAGCAAACTAAGGAAATATATGTTCTATAGTCTCATCTAACAATTCCAATGAGGGTTAAAATTTTAGATGAAATTATAAATACAAAACAAATGGTCAATAGTGGATGAAAGAAGTATGACTAGGAAAACAACGTATTAACTGTTTTTCTTCTCTTATAGACAAGACCCCAAATAGCAAATATCCAAGTAACTGTATCAAAGACTCCAATATCCAAGAAAAGGACTGAGACATTTATTATACAATATCATTGACCAGATGAGGCTCAAGAGAATTAACGTCACAGTATTTCCCTTAAATAAATTCAAAAGATTCACTTGAATGTTAGCTACCAAAACAATGTATAGATAAAACACATTTAAAATTTTCATTTACTAAGAGTAACTGTAATCTAAAGCATGAAATGAATATTTGTATTTGAAGACTACTGCCAGAAACTCTGTCTATAAAAGCATAATTAATCACAGCCGCACATAACAATAGTATGGCAGCATAAAGAATACAAAATGGACATAAGAGTTTGATAGGGCCGGGCACGATGGCTTAAGACTGTAATCCCAGCGCTTTGGGAGGCCGAAGGGGGAGGATCATGAGGTAAGGAGTTCGAGACCAGCCTGGCCAGCATGGTGAAACCCTGTCTCTATGATAAATACAAAAAATTAGCCAAGTGTGGTGCTGGGGGCCTATAGTCGCAGCTACTTGGGAGGCTGAGGCAGGAGAATTGCTTGAACCTGGGAGGTGGAGGTTGCAGCGAGACGAGATCACGCTACTTCACTCCAGCGTGGCGCCTGGTGACAGAGTAAGACTCTGTGTCAAAAAAAAAAAAAAAGAGTTAGATGGAACAGCAAGTTCACAAGTGAGTTCTTTTTTGCCTACTGTTACTATGATATTATGGTTCTTAAAATAGTTTAAATCCTAATTTCATATTTAAAATTCTAAATATGCATTTTATTTTAATCACTGAAAAGGAGAAAATTCTATTAAATAAGCAAAGTAGGTCATCTAAATAAAGAACCCAATGGCATAACACAAAATCAGAGAACTTTAGGGTAGCAATGAGTCTCAGAAGTCTTGGCCTCAGCCTCCCAAGTAGCTAAGACCACAAGTATACACCATCACACCCAGCTAATTTAAATTTTGTACAGATGAGGTCTCCCCAGGTTGCCCAGGCTGGTCTCAAACTCCTGCGTTCAAGCAATCCTTCTGCCTCGGCCTCCCTAAGCACTGGGATCAAAGATGTAAGCCACTGTGCACAACCCTAACAGGCTTTAGATAAGAGTGGTGTACAGGCCCACCCTACTAGGTCATGTTGGGGGTGAGACTGGAACACAGAACAGGTGTCCCTAACTCCACTCATCTTTCCTCTATCCCAGTGTTGCCCAAACCTCAATCATTTGCATACGGCCGTCAACATTTTTCTCAGTGTCACGTGCCTATACCACTATCTAATAGTTTTCTCAATTCACTTTTTAAAAAAACCAATATGCACTCATCTCATCCCATTTCTGCTCCCCTTTTTATAATTGTGGTAAAACATACATAACAAAATTTACCATTTTAACCATTTTTAAGTAAACGATTCAGTTGCAGTATACTCACAATGTTGTGCAACCAGCACCACTATCCACTTCCAGAACTTTTTCATCACCCCAAACAGTCTGTATCCATTAAACAATAACTCTCCATTTTGTCCTCCCAGCAGCCCCTGCTAACTTCTACTTTGCTTTCTGTCCACGAATTTGACTATTCTAGGAACACTTTAAGTGAAATTATAGAATAAATGTCCTTTCGTGTCAAGTTTATGTCCCTGTGCATAATGGTCACAAGGTTCATCCATGTTGTAGCATGTATCAGAATCTCAACTCACTTTTGTAGAAACATTTTATTAACCCTAAACTATCAAGGCTTATGAAACCTTCCATTTCATGTGGGTACAACAATAAAGAAAAAAAAAATAAGACCTATGAAACCACTAATTTGATATATTAGATCATACATTTTCCTAATCAGCATTAAATTTCTATGATTTAAATGTTCACCTGAATATAATCTAAAGTCATCTACCAAATCACCAGTAGTATGTCAGCACCTTAGAAAAACACAGAACTATTCAAAAAGACACTACTATAGATCAAAGGCAAGTAGAATATCACTAAAGTGTGAAAACAGAAATTAGTGACTCTTCTTAAACCTTTTCTAAAATTTTTTTTTTTACAAAAAAAATAATTTCTTGGCTTTTTGTTATTATTGTCAAAGATTTTTTTTAACACACAAAATGTTATTTAAATACAAAACAACCCTGTGTCCTAGAGTCTGACAATTTAGATACACTGAAATTTGCATACAAAAGAGCACCAGAGGAGAAACTCCTAAGTTAGATGTTGTGATTTCTGAACAGTTTAAAAACAACTGTATCTGGGCCAGGCACGGTAGCTCACGCCTGTAATCCTAGCACTTTGGGAATCCAAGGAAGGTGGATCCTCTGAGGTCAGGAGTTAGAGACCAGCCTGGCCAACAGGGCAAGAAACCCCATCTCTATTAAAAATACAAAAAAGTTAGCTGGGTGTGGTGGCACATGCCTGTAATCCCAACTACTCGGGAGGCTGAGGCAGGAAAATGGCTTGAACCCAGAAGGCAGAGGTTGCAGTGAACCAAGATCACACCGCTGCACCCCAGCATGGGCAACAAAGCGAGAATCCCTCTCAAAAAAAATACAAATAAAAACAACTGTATCCATCATAGCTTTTAATATGAAAAAAAAAACTGGAAAACACTTCCCGAATTCCAAAGGCCCAGACACACATACACCCATACCTCTCTTCTAAAATATTTTTGTGTTTGTAAATCTGTTCTTAAATCTATTACTTTTGTAATCAGTCCTTCTCAATGCTAAATTTTATTCAAATTTAAAGGAAGATAAAAGAATTAGAAATTATTATAAATCAGTAACAGCAGCAGGTAACATTTACTGAGAAATATCCCTTTACCAGGCTTTAGAGAGACTGTCACATTTACTACATAACAAGGTCCTCTATATTTTTTTGTCCCCCACCCCCACCACTGCCCCATTTGATAGCTGAAGAAACAGTTTTGGAGTTCAAGAGACTTGACTAACATCACACCATTAGTGAAGCTAGAGAAAAATTAACCCAGGCAATCAGGTATAGTTTTAAATATATTATTTTTATTAAATATGCAAAATCAAATAAAGTATTTGTCATGGTTACATAACATTTTCTTTTATAAAACATAATTACATTATTAAATATTCAATTCATGTATTACACCAGAAAGAGCACTAACTAGAATTGAATTTTATGACCTTGGCTCTGGGGCTGGCTCTGCCACTAACTAGTTTTATGACCACAGGCAAGTTACTTACCCTGTTTAGGCTTCTGCACTCTCATTGGTAAAGTAATGTAACTGGACAGGATAATCCTAAAGACCTTTTCACCCCTAAATACTTCGAATTTTTTCTGAGTCTTGGTTAATTTAAGACTATGTAAATTACTAGTCTCCCAGGGGTTCTACTACTACAGTTTAGAGGCAGGGGAAGGGTAGTAAAGTTCCAGGGAGAAATACAGGTTGCTATGATAAATCCCTCACTTCTCTCTCTTTTTTGTTGTTTTTAAGCTTCTGTTCTACGTTACATAACTGTAAAGCTGTCAGATCAAATTGTGTCAAGTACTTTATGCTCTGTCCATGAGATAAACCAAAAGGCCTAACTAGGTTCTACATGAATGAGAAAGCTTAATGTAGCCTTAAATGAACCCATCAAAAAACTGACACAGAATGGACAGCGAAGTGTAAAAAGTGTCGGAACTAATTTACAAATTAAGCAAATGGTATGCTCATTAATCCTGGGTAGGCTGTATAAAAACATAATACCAAGACCTCTTATATAAGAAATCTAAGATCATCAGCATCTGCTATATTATATCTACCTTTTAATCATTCCTTTTTCCAAAAAAATTACGTATTTGAAAGAATGAATGCCCCTAAGAAGAAAAGCATGAGAAGAGTTAGAAAACAAAATATTACTGTGATTTTTTTTAATCTATTTATTGTTGATTACTGGATGTCAACTATACTCTGAAAAGAGGGGAACATAATCTACGTGTTCAGCTCATAAGTTATTTCATGATTCCTATGGGTTACTGCTATTCTTTGGGGGCTTTGGTAGGAGAGGCAGATCCAAAAACAAGTATGCACACTTTAGAGCTGAAAAAATTATCAGGGAAAAAAATAATTACCTCAGCCAATCCAAGTCAGGATCCTACCCCTCACAACTGTCTCTCCAACCAAGAATAGGTTAGGTATCCAGGCAACATAATCAGCAACGCTCTCAACCTTACTTCTGAACTTTATGATGATTCCTCTCTTGAGTCCACCCTTTTCTGTTTTCTAACATCATTTCCCTCCCTAATCAACCTTGGCCCTGTACTACATCAGCTCAACTAATCCCTTCACCTTACTTACCCTTTCTTCTATCGTTCCTGCGCTACACAAGGTCCTAAATCCTAGATTCCTCTAACCACTCACCTTTTTCTACTATGGGAGCAGAGTTTTTGAATATGACAAAAATAACTGCTACAACTATCAAAATCTCCAATGTGCCTCAACACTGTTCAGCAATCCTTTTCTGTTTTCTGAGAAAGTAAAAACATTTAATTAGGTATGGATTAGGACTGCCTATAAATTAGGTAATGGAGCAGGAAGTTGAATGGGATTCATACCTGTTGGCTCTTATTTCAAGTAGCAAGCTATTCTGAACACTTCATGTGTATTCCCTGATGTAGTTTTTATCAAAAACTCATTAAGTAGGTGCTTAATTCTCTTCACTTTGCCAAAAAGGAAACAAAGACACAAAGTGGCTGAGTAACTTGTTCAAGGGCACACTACTGGTAAGCAGCAGAGCTAGTATTTGGACATGGCAGTCCAACTCCAATGTCTATTTTTTTCCATCACATTGGTATGTCTGAAAGCATAGCATCTCAGGCTGCCCCAAGATGGCTAAAGATTGCTTAATATAGGTCAGAGAAAGTCTTCCAAGTGTGCTTTCCAACTCAAGGTTTAATTCTCTCTTCATGTACAGGAAAATGCTCCTAGATAAGAAATCATTTAAGCATGAAGGTACTGTATATTTGGTATTGTTTAGGCCTTCAAAAGCAAAATCCAATTATATGGCAAAGGATTTTGAGAGTGTGTGAAAGGTGGTATAAAATACTCATTAAAAGAGTGTGTTCTTGAGCCAAACTAACAGGATTACTAGCTGTGTAGCCACGGGCAAATTACCTGAACATACAGAATACATAGAGGAAAATTCCTTCTCGCTAAGAAAGGAATAAACTGCTGCAACTAGTAACTGAATATCAATCAAAACATTTGCATATAAAAAGAAAAAATCGGAGCCAAATTATAACCAGTATGACTTATACAATCTAATACCTTAATACAGACAAATAATGCAATGGTTCTTTTTAAAAGCTAAGATAGAAATAAACAAAGGGCATGAACAGAAAATTCATAAAACAGGAAAAACAAACATCAAAAACGCTCAACTTCTCTTTTTTTGAAAAAAAGAAGTGCCTACTTGCATTAGTTTTTTGCTTTGTTTTTGTTTTAGAGACAGGATCTCGCTCTGTCACCCAGGCTGGAGTGCAATGGCATGATCATAGCTCACTATAGCCACAAACTTCTGGGTTCAACAAGCCTCCTGAATGGCTAGGACTACAGGCATGTGCCACCACATCCAGCTAAATTTTTTAAACATACTAATATATTTGTACAGCAAGTCTAGAAGGATACATTAGACTGTTAACAGTACTTGCTCCTAGTAAGGTGAAGGAAGAAGAGAGAGGGCCCCGAGAGAGGAAACACAAGAGGAAGAAAGTCACTCCTCTTAGGGCCGCCTTCCTACAGTAGCTCAATTTGTAGTATAGTCTCTCTTGGATACGTGTCATAGGAAAAATTTGGGTTACATGCCTCTATCCTAATTCTGAAGGAGACAGAATATGAATTTGTAATGTTCATATTCTTTCATGAATAATATAAAATAATTCATATTATTTCAAAGATGCTCAATAGTTGGAACACAAAATACATACTGAATTACCACATCCAGGAATGGATGACAAATCATTATCTTATTATCTATATTCTATGAGCAGGATATAGAGAATGTTACTTACATTCCTCAAAACATTTGCAAAAGTCTAAGGATAAATTAACAGATGATATTTGAGACAGAAAGAAATAGAAACTGGCTTGTAATTGAAGCTTCCACATGACCCTACTACATACATACACACATACATACCCTAGCACAGTAAAGAAAATAATATATTTGCCTGTGGAATGTGTCAGCAACTCTGGTACCTTACAACCTAGACTACTAAACATTGTTTATAATCAGCAGTGTATAAAGCTCAGAAAAGATAAAATAAGAACTACTCAAATTAATAAATCATAAAGTTGTGTCCATTTCAACACTGACGATATAAAATTTCTTATATTATACCTGGCTTCTCTACCACGAATCTGACTATACAGGGGCTTTATTAAAGTTAACAAGGGTTGGACATAGTAAACCTCAAGGATACAACCAATTTTTAAAAATAGGAGTCTAAATTATATGTTCATAGTTGTGGATATTTTTAATATAAAATATCACAAAGATTTGTCTCATTTAGAACAATGAAGACTGATATTTTCATTTTAAAGGAAACATGTGTCTAACAACAAAAGCAAAAACAAAACAAAACAAAATTTGGCATTTTGGCATAACATTTGAGAAATATTCTGCTGAGTCATAATCTCCACCACTACTCGACCAAACTCCCTAGTATTTTCACTAGACAACTAAGAAACATAACCATGGCTACCGCTATGTAGCACAGTATCTCAGCAATTTGGAAAAACTGCAGCCCCTGAACCACAGGTTCTCCCTTTTGCACCTCTCCAACTCTGCACTTGGAGCCACGGCCTCATTAACCTGCTCATGCTATTCTCTAGCAAACTCAGGTGGGCTTATTTACCCAGATTCAGTACAATTCTTACCTCTCATTGGCAGCAGGCCCATGGGAAGATGGGACAAGAGACAGTAGTCTTATCTAACTTCAAAACGTATTTACTAAATAAATGAATGACTGAATAAAAGTTTGTATACATACACCACACACTGGTGCTAGGAGGAAGAGCTGCCACAGATGAACAAAGACATGCTGCTAGATAAAAAGTAACAGATGGCCTCTGAACAGGCATATAATGGGGAAGGCCCTCAAAAAGAATATGCTGAATGGATGACTTAAAGTACACCTAGAATGGCAAGTAGCTGAATTCACCAGGAGAGTTAAAGTATATAAAGACAAATGGTGGTGGAAATACTAGGAGAACAAATTAAGGACAGAACGTAGCAGGCCAAGAATCCCAAATTAAAGGGTGTAGACTTCATTTGGTATAAAGCAGCAGGCCATTAAGGGACCTTGGGCAGGGGAGAGAAATTGAAGGCTATGTTTTAAGACAAATTATCTGACAGCTACATATAGGTTGGATTGGTAGGAAGAATTGAAGGGAGATAAGCTGAGGGACTGTTAAGGTAAGTACCTTGTGCCTAAATCTTTCAATGTACTTATCATATAACTGTACATAACACATAATAATGAGGTTCATTTTTCTTCATCTGTCTCTCCGAGCAGGCTCAGAACTCCAGAGATAACGAATCTACTTTTTCAGCACATGTAAAAAGTGAGGATGGGCCAAACGATCATTGATAGCCCTTCTAATTAATAACATACAGGTCTACAATTGATTACTTTCCTTCCAAGCATTTACAGCTTACCTAGAGATGGAAGCTAGGAAGAAAGGTCATAATTTACGAAAGGATAATAACCTTCAAAATATCATTTACAATCTGTTTTTAAACTCAGAATGTATTTTCTGATGATAACAAGAGAACCACCATTTACTGATTGCTTATCTTGCACCTTGCATCGTGTTGAAACACTCTACATATCTCATTCCTCAACATGATCCTATGAATCAGGTATTCCTATACACAATTTCTGAATGAGGAGCCTCAGATGTGGACAGGTTAAGGAAGCTGCCCAAGTTCACATACCTAGGAAGTGGCCGAGTCCAGCTCTGAGCCTAGGCAATGACCAAGTTTTAAGGTCAAGACAAAATGCCAACATAATCCATGATGTGTCTAAGTGTAATACAATCATAGAATATAACAACTAGGTTATTCAGTCACTCCTTAGGAGTTATATCTTTTTAAATCTTGCAATACAGTTTCTTCAGACTTTCTGTATCTAATCACCATGACCCATCTTCTACAGAATTTTTAAATGGTTACTACACAATTCAAATGAAACCAAGTGTTTCAAAGTTAAAAAAAAAAAATAGAAAACATATAAACTGACAAAGTAAAATACCTACTCAACATATCTTTTATTTTTAATTTTTGTGGGTACAGAGCAGGTATATATATTTATGGGGTACATGAGGTATTTTGACCCAGGAGACAATGCATAATCACATCAGGGTAAATAATCACATACAGGTCAGGCGCAGTGGCTCACACCTGTAATCCCAGCACTTTGGGAGGCCAAGATGGGTGATCACCTGAGGTTAGGCGTTCAAGACTAGCTTGGCTTACATGGTGAAACCCCGTCTCTAATAAAAATTAGCCAGGTATGGTGGCACACACCTGAAGTCTTAGCTACTCAGGAGGCTGAGGCAGGAGCTTGATCCAGGGAGGTGGAGGTTGCAGTGAGCCAAGATTGTACCACTGCACTCCAACCTGGGTGACAAAGCGAGACGCCATCTCAAAAATAATAATAACATCCATCACCTCAAGCATTTATCCTTTGTGTTACAAACAATCCAATCACACTTTGTTATTTTAAAATATAGAATAAATTGTTGACAGTCAAAACCCTGTTGAGCTATCAAGTGCTAGATCTTCTTCAATCTATGTTTTTGTACCCATTGACCAGACCCACCTTCCCCCATCACCTACTACCCTCTCCAGCCTTTGGTGACCATCACTCCACTCTCTATCTCCATGAGTTTAATTGTTTTAATTTTTTTACCTCCCATAAATGAGAACATGCAAAGCTTGTCTTTCTGTGCCTGGATTATTTCACTTAACAATGATCTCAAGTTCCATCCATGTTGTTGCAAATGATAAGATCTCATTCCTTTTTATGTCTGAATAGTACTCCATTATGTATATGTACCACATTTTCTTTATCCATTCATTTGCTGACTGACACTCAGGTTGCTTTCAAATCTTAGCTATCATGAACAATGCTGCAATAAACATGGGAGTGCAGAAATCTCTTCAAGATACTGATTTCTTTCTTTCTTCTGGGTATATACCAAGCAGTGGTATATACCTGCTGGTATATATGGTAGCTCTATTTTTAGATTTTAAGGAACCTATAAACTGTTCTGCATAGTGGTATACTAATTTACATTCCCACCAACAGTGTAAAAGGGTTCCATCTTCTCCACATCCACACCAGCATTCGTTATTGCCTGTCTTTTGGATGAAAGCCATTTTAACTGGGGTGAGATGATATCTCACGTAGTTTGTTTTTGTTGGTTTTTGGTTTTGTTTTTGAGACAGGGTCTGCTCTGCTGTCCAGGCTGGAGTGCAGTGGTGCAATCCCAGCTCACGGCAGCCTCAACCTCCTGGGCTCAAGAGATCCTCCCACCTCAGCCTCCCCAGTAGCTGGGACCACAGACATGCACAACCACAGTCAGCTAATTTTTTGGCATTTTTTTTGTTGAGGTGGGGTTTCACCACGTTGCCCAGGCTGATCTCGAATTCCTGAGCTCAAGCAATCTGCCCATCTCAGCCACCCAAAGCACTGAGATTACAGGCATAAGCCACCATGCCTGGCCTCAATGTAGTTTTGATTTCCATTCTGCTGATGATCAATGATGTTGAGTACCCTTTCATACACCTGTTTGCCATTTGTATATCTTCTTTTAGGAAACATCTGCTCAGATCTTTGACCCACTTTTTAATCAGATTATTACATGTTTTCAACTACTAAGTTGTTTGAGCACCTTATATATTCTGGCTATTAATGCCCTATCAGAGAGACAGTTTGCAGATATTTTCTCCCATTCTGTGGGTTGTCTCTTCACTTTGCTGTTTCCTTTGTTGTGCAGAAGCTTTAACTGGACGTGATCCCACTTATCCATTTCTGCTTTGGTTGCCTGTCCTGTGGGGTATTGCTCAAGCAATCTTTGCCCACTCCCATGCCCTGGAGAGTTTGTTTCATAGTTTGAGGTCTTAGATTTCAATTTTTAATCCATTTTTATTTGGTTTTTGTATATGGCAAGAGACATGGGTCTAGTTTCATTCTTCTGCATATGGATATCCAGTATTCCCAGCACCATTTATTGAAGAGACTGTCATTTCCCCAATGTATGTTCTTGTCATTTT